AATAGTTAACTTTAATTTGAAATCTTTTTCTTCAGTGTAATACTTTTTTTTAAAAAAGATCAAAAGTTCATGTTAAGTAATAGACCACTGAGAAAACCCTGGTAGGATTTTAACAATAATGAAGTCATAGCACTTTTAATAGAAAACTTTTCTTATACATGTTACCAAAATGCAAAGCAGCCAACAATTAAAGGCAACGTTTCTTTATAAAAGGAGAGGGCTCTGGAATTCTTCTTTGAACTATGCATCATTTATTGGGAATCTTGTCACAACATGAATCCCTTTGGGGTGAAAGCAAGTGATTTGAAGGTTAAAATAAATTAATCTTGCTGTGACCTAATGCAATTTATTGGAAGCTGGCCTTGGGAAACACATTGACATTTACTACATGGGCTTTTCACTGAGTATTCAAAATGCAGTAAGTTGTTCATCTTCACAAGCCTTTATTAATTACAGCATTTTAAACGACCCATTTAATTTTGTGTTAGTTTTGTTAAGAGTTTGATTTTATTATCTCTCTGTGTGGTAATAGCTACAGGTTTCATCACTTTTACATTAACAGCATTGAGCTGTTTGCTAAGCCAGAATTCCATCCTCCTTCCCTTGCCCACTGCCCCATCTCTATTCTCCTTTATGCTGATGATGCAGCCATACTGCATCAAGTAGGCCTCTGAAGATGCCTTAAAGCTCTATCACTATGCTGTGCTACAAAACACCTCAAAATAAATTACTCTAAGATAAAAGTATTGGTATTCTCTAGGAAACACTTTAAAGCTCCAATTAGATGAGCAATCAATGGCAAATTCATTGGCCAAGTAAAATCCTTTAAATATCTAGGTGTCTATTTTCAATCTTCTGCTTGCTGGTCTACTCAAACAAAAGGTAGACAGTATAGCTGTTCAAGTATCTCAAGGGCTGTTCTGTATAAGACAGAATTATCCAGAGTTGTTCCAGAAGACAGGACAAGAAACCTATGGGTTTAAATTATAAGAAAAGAAAAGTAGATTTTTGGTTGGCCCTCAGAAAAAAAAAATCATAATCATAAGAGCTGTTCAACAATGATACAGACTGTTCAGGAAATAAATTTCTTTTAAAAAATTGAACATGCAGGAAGAAATGAATGATACTTTTGAACTTGTGCAGACTGGCAGATGACATTTTTGGCCACAGCTCCCTTGCTTTGGGACAGCTGACTCCCAAGATCAGAATGGCCTCTTCCATAATATCCTTCTGGAGAACAGTAAAGCTTTGTTCTCCCTCAGCATCTTTGGAGAGGACAGCCCTGTATAATATAGACAGTGGCTTTAGGGATTTGATTAGGGTTCAGTATTCCTGATTATTTTTAATTTTGATTTTAGATATTTATTGATTATGATTGTAAATCCCTTAGAACTGACAGCTTTGATTATCCTGCTCCAAGTTACAAATGGGTTACTTTCTATGCTGTAGGTATAAGTCAGAAGCTGTTATGCCAGTCATCTGAAGATAATATTCCACGCTTCTAGTTTTTAGTTAACACCATTCTTGCTACTATCAGCATATAAATCACCAACTCTTTAGATTTTATTTTCTTCTTGTCTTTAGTAAATATTCCGAATAAAGCTTATTGTGGATCTACTGTATATCCTGATTGATAATTTTATCTGCATCTGCATTACCAAGCCCTCCAAATCCTTGGATATTCCCACTGCAGGTAAAAATATGTGTCTTTCTTATTGCAATTACACTATCAATAGCTCTCAGTAACTATTGTTGGGGAACATTAGTGGAATGCTGCTATTCCACTTATCATCTGCTTATGAACATTTGTTTCCCTAGAACATTTAGGCTTTGGCTCTAATGTTTTTCAGCTACACTTGAATGTTTCTTCACACTGCTCTATTGCCCAGTTCAGGTGGATGAGAGTTTGCTCTTTTCAAAATCTAATCAAATAATTTGGAAAAACTCTTTAATTTAGGGTGACATTATGTTTCCAATTTCCACTTATGCTTATAAAAATCTGGGAAATTGAAATTTAAAGTATGCATCTTAATATTATGTGTTAAATGAAATGTAAAGATTTTGTTCAATCTCATATGCCATAATGGCTTCACAGGTTAGGATCCAAATATCCACAATTTCCTTCAATCTTTCAAGTCAGCTCTGAGTAAAGAGGGGATACTTCCAGATAAACACTCAGCAGGTACAGCTTTCCAAGTTATTTGATAGATGAAAGTATGCCCAATGCATTTGCATAAGGCATTCTGCTTTTCATAAATTCCTCCTATTCTTGTAATTGATTAAGCAGAAACTAAATGGATCCATAAATCTAATACTATAGTGACATACAGTAGTTTCAATGGTGAGCACAGTGTATTACAAGTGATAGTTTTAGTTGGAATTGGAATTGCATCATTAGATAATTACAACCATAATTTATCTTGAGGTCAGATTGTCAAACTTTTCATGGATGTGCTCTGAACATGGTAAATATATCATGTTCATTCCCATTAAAATGGACGTTTCTGCTTTATTTATTTATTTAAGGAATTTATATGGCTTTAATTGCCCTTACTCTGGGACTTTAAGCATCTGTGTATGTTAATCAGGAAAATGCCTTGCAATTATCTTGAACTAAAAGAAAAATAATTATTGATCATAAAACAAAATAAATTTATTCTAGGAAAAATAAATGGTGTCCACTACATTCTTGCTAGAGGTTGTAGCTAATAAACATTGCTGAACTGAATCTGCATGGTCTCCTGGAGTTTCTTGGGCTAGGCCTGACATCTACCCTGGTCAAACCACTCCCAGCTTGGTCCCTCCTAGCCCTGAGCCTTGGTAAGGTAAGGAACTGCCTCCTCTTCAGCTCCCTCACCCACTTCTCCCCCCTCTCATCTCTGCCCTTTGGGCCACTCTGCTGCTGCTGCTGGCCTTGCCGCCCTGCGCTCTGCTTGCCCTACCACCCTGCTGGCCCTGCTGCCCTGTGCAAACTGGCCCTGCTGGCCTTGTAGCCCCCAAATGACTTCACTGTCTTCCTCCCACTGCTGACGAGGCGTGCCTGGCCTGGTCCTATGCGAGGCAGCTGCTGGCTACACCACACCTTTTTCCTGAGGCCGCTTGCGCCATTCTCAATTTTATGTAGACTTTATTGAGTTAGGGTTCGCTTGTTGAAAATCAGTGAGAATTCTGAATACACATGGTTGTATTGAATAGGGCAGCTATTAACTGGATATTAACAGTTATGCTAAAATGTAATATCTATAGTGTCAGAGACCTGGAAATTCATTTTTTCCACAAAGTCATGAGGAAGTAGCCCCAGTTCTGCCTATGTGAAATAGGAGTCACATTCTCCTTTTCTAGATTATTGTGAAGATGAAGGTTATCAGGTACATTATATACAAAGTCCATGTAAAATTCTATAGTAATATTCCATAGTTGTCTGTCTCCACTTTGAATGAAACTTGGGGTGAACAAGGAGCAGGACTTTATTTGATCTTATAATGCTATAAATTCATTCACATGGGATTTCAAACATAAAAAGCCCTCTGAGACCTTGGCCTCTTAAAAATCTTTTATCTAATTAAACTCAACAATATTTATTTGTCCCTAGGCAATAGGCAAAAGATAGCTGATTTTTCCCTTCAAAAAATCTCATATGAAACAAGCAAATGTTCTGTTGCCTGAAATCAAGAGAAACAGGACTTGGCAAATCCTCTCTTAATTTTCACTGGGGAGGAAATGGTTGCTCATTTACTTATATATTTATATGCTTATTTGACAAACAATGTCCTTGTAAGCAGGTCAAATTATAAAGTCAGAGTTTAATTTTCTTTGTAACATTACAACAAACAGTTTCAGGGTCTTGCTGTAATCTGTTCAAGCTACATACCGCATTCTGATTATTATAAGCTTATGGTGGACATAAATACACAAGTAGAAATATTTCTGTCTAAGTTTCAAGAGAGGCAAATCCCTTGTTAAAGAACGGGGTGCAGATCAAGGATCCCTTGGCTATGGAAGTGAATGGAGTAGCAGAGAGAAAACATTAAGAATGAGAGGTAGTTGTTATGATGTATATTTCAGTATATAAACTTGGGCACCGGCAAACTAAAACTGAGCAATAATCATTCTTTGATGTCATAATCAAATGGTCACACTTCTAACATTTTTCCCAAACAAATTTGCTGTGATCAAAATAACATATTTATCCTGCAAATGCAATGTTTGCCCCAAATACATTTGTCTTCTTCAGTTTTATATAATAAGATATGTAATATAAGGTGTTTTCATTCTGTTGCATTTAACCAATATTGTATTTACACATATTTTCAAAAACACAGGAATAAAAAAGAAAGCAAAAGATGTATTCCTGAAGCCAAGTCTTTTTTTACATTTTTATCTTGATATAACTGTATATACACAAACTACATCTGCTTACATATTTGTAATAAATCTCAAGAAATGGGATATTTTGTATTTGCCAGTGTGTACCAAAACATAAGTATATTAAGAACATTGATAACCAATCATAAAATTGTAGATAGGTCCAATCTTGCCAGCTGTGAACTTTTTAAAGAAGCTGACACATATATTTTAGAATAAAATAATCTGCAAATAAGCTGGTAGTAAATTTAATAAGTTAAAGGAAATGTGACGTCTGTGAAAAACAGTTGAGGAGGATATCCCCTTAAATATAATGTAATCTTAAAATATGAATTTTAAGAATTAGATTTCTGTTTTCAATATGCAAACAATATAATTTGTTCTCACTCCTTGCTTTATTTTATCAAGAATTCTTGTGTACTTGGGGACTTCTAAAATGCTGCCATTGTCACTTGGATATCTAAAGGCTGCTTTTGTATGCTTTCCCTTCTTCGTAAAGATGCCAACATTGTTCTCCCAACCAAAAACAATTCCAATTAGCCAATATCCCTACTACAAGCATAACATGACAGTGATACAAGAACAAGTATTGATTAAAACAAAAAGCCATTTTTAAAAACAGTGTTCATTCTTACCAACTCCAGTAGTTATTGATTCTGTGTCAATGTTGTTAGCCTTTTTCTTTGCCACTTCAGCTAGTGCCAATTCACCCTTATCTAGTGCAAAGTAATGGATGTCCTTTAGAAATAAAGCAAAATAAAAGATTAATCTAAAATGAATCTTGGGCAGGTAACAAAGGAGAATTTGAAAGGAACGAGCTTCTTTATTCCTTAGATCAGATACAGAGATGGAAATGATGAGACTATATTTATAATTTTCTTTGTGTTGCTCTTGAAATGCAGCTTTATAATCCAACTTGTATTTCTTTACTAGTACTTAGTAATGAATGAAGCATTAACCATTAACAGAAAGAATAGAGCCACTCAATCCTGCGGTACAACTTTTAATAAACAGCTTAGACTTTCTTGTTGTAAAAGCCAAAGCTTTTGCAAGCATCCTAGTATAGGAGGAAACATGAAGGCATATAATGAAGGTATATTTTTTCCTAACATTTCCTAATGATTTGTGATATTCTAATGAATATTACATAACTTTTTTTGCCTTTTTATTCCTGAGTGTCTCCAATACAGATTTTTATTTTTGTTTATTCCAGTTTGAAAATGAGAGGTAACAGTAGCTTGGAAAAGTTCATATTATATTCTAAATCAAAGATGCATGTTCTAAGGCCCCAGGCCTACACGTGACCCCCAAATTCTAAAGTATATTCACCAGAAATCTTTTTAAAGTTTTCAAATTGTAATTTTTAATGCGTCAGAAAGGAAATAAATGATTGGTCAGCAATCATATTAACAATATAAAATTAAATGACAGTCTCTGTAAATGCAGGTCTGTCCCACTCAAGTATAAAAAAATATGAATACTGTTTTAAGGATTCCATGTCATGGGGAAGTTTCTGAGGCCTTCCACCAGGTTTTACTTCTGTGGTTGTTCCTTTTCAAGATTGTTTTTAATTTAGATGGCCTTCCACACCAGAATGGAATTTGGGAGAAAATACCTAGAAAAGAGTTTAATGGGTATATCATCCAATTCTCAAGTGCCTTCCTTTTTGCTCTTCCCTGCATTGAAATAGAGTCACCTTAACAAAACTATCTGTGTAATCTTCCAGATCTCTCTGGCTGCTGTAAAACACTTGGGGTGTATCTGCACTGCTGGGCTGCCCTGACATGACTAGAGGCCACCAGTTGTTTCTGGAGGACTGTAACAGATCTCAACTACTGACCTCCAGCCCATCCGAAATGTACTTCTGCCTACTGTGTCTTTCTGCTCTAAATGTGGCTTTCTCCTCTGTTGAAAGTAGCATTTTCTGGCTGATACCAGCACCGGTACCACTATCCAGTTTGGCTACCAACGCTTTAATTTCTTCTAGGCAACCCCCTGTACTTTGCTTGGCAACTAGATAGACACAAGAAAACCCTCCCACTTGAATCAGTGATTGCCAGCCTGTAGTATTATAATCGTGGCTGCAGCTACTGTTGAAAAAGATCAAGCTCAATAGCATAACGTTTATAAGACTTGCCTGACATGTAGAACATTAGTGGTTCAAAACCTGGCAGAATATTTTTTAGAAAAAGAAACTCTATTGTTTTCCCCTTGTCCTTCCTTTCTGCTTGACTTTTTTAAAAAATAAGTCATTTGTGCCCTATTTTATCACTTCTCAGTCACTGAAATCCTTCTATCTCAAGTGACTGAACAAAAGATGAAATGAAACACCAAGTGGTGTTTTATATGTCCGACAAATGTTACAACCATTATGCCACTCAGACTCCTGTTTCTCAATAGTAGCTGATACAGATCTTATTGCGCCAAATTGGGAAAAGGCAAGAAAGGAATTTTTATTTCAAAGCTGGCTGTTGTGCCTGCATATATGTGTCTTCTGATCCTTTAATTCCATATATAAAAATGAAACTTTGTGGGTTGCATATAAAATGTATATATGGACATATGTATCTGTATAGGAAACCAATCAGCAATTGCTTTCCTGGAACGGTAAGTGGGGAGGGCACAACAGTAGGGGAACTGTCCATGGGAGCCTCCATTAGGACTGAATCCCTTCTAAGCCCGTTCCAAAAGGTATCAGTCTGGACAGTTTTTTAAAAGTTGGTTTAGAGTTAAGGCAGCATCAGCGTAGCATAGGAGCAGTTATCCTTCTTCCTATTTGCTTTGCTACTCAGATAGCCAGTTCTTGTTATACCAATTCTTCTCTTCTCAGTGGATTTACTAATATTTGTTACCAGTTTCATATGGTTGTTGTTAATCTTGCTTACTAAACAACACTTCCTACTTATCAGGTCTTGTCCCAATTTTAAATTCCTCCTTGTGGTTATCTATTTCATGCTGTGTAACACAACTTATTTATGTATATACTGTATGTATGCACATACTTAGGTGTTCTTGGCAACATTTTTCAGAAGTGGCTTGTCACTGGCCTTCTTAGGGCTAAGAGAGAGTGATTGAGCCAAGTCACCCTGCTGGCTTTGTGCCTAAAGCAGGGCAAGAACTCACGGTCTCCCAGCTTCTAGTCTGGTGCCTTAACCATTATACCAGACTAACTTTCTAAATAAGTATGGGGCACTCATAATTTGATCCAGATCAATCTCTTATTTATGTTTCCCTATCCCTGTTGAAGGTATTATTATTTTCATTCTCTACAAAATTGGGACAGCTTCTCAAAACTGCCAAAACTTCTATTTTCTTCTTCTGCACAGCTCAAAAGTTCACTATCGCTCTTTGTATCAACTCAAACTGAAAACTGAGATAATTCATGTGATCTCTTTTTTCGGAGGAGAGCAGAAGGTACAAAAGTTAACAAGCCTGTTTTTCAAATCTGTATAACCTGGTGCTAAATTATATTTCTTTGTGTAATCAAATATTCTGCTAAATTAATCAAAATAATTCAACATTTCTATATAGTCTTGGTCTTGCAGATAGAGTCCTGTTATGCAGTGTCAGTGTCAACAATTAGCAGTGGCAACTTCACGTTTGACTGCAATAATGGCAAACTTGAATTGAATGAAGGCGGATAAACTTATTAACTTATGTTCTGTTCTGTTCAATATAAACTCTACCAAAAAATCAATATGGTACAACCAAAGAAAAATAAAATTTTAACAATATTCTTTCAACACATTCTTACAGTATTTTCCAGGTAATTTTCTTTATTTGTTCCACCCAGCAGTTCTCTTACACAGTTTTTAAAAAATATTTATTTAGCCTCAACTTTCTGCTGAGCGTGCAGTGAAAATAACATAGATGTTAATGCTAAAAGAGCATGAAGTGAAAGCTTATTAAAGTATCTTTTCATGAATATTAATGCAACCACAAGGTGAATGCTGCGAAGACATTTTGGAACAAAGGAGAATACTTTGGGTTTTCCAAAAGGCTCAGGTCTCAATAACGAGTCTTTACTCCAGAATGAAGACCCTATGGTCCTCCAAATATTGCTGACCTACTGCTTCTAGCCATTTCTCACCAATAGTGATACTGCCTGGTGCTGCTAGAAACTGTAGTTTAGACCAACCAAAGGGCTGACTCCTCACCACTATTCTTATACTTTTAACTACTACATTCCTAGGCTTTCCCTATGCGTAATCTGAAAACAAAGGCAGGAAGAAGACATAGAAGAATCTGATTTCACTAAATCAAGTTGTTTGAATTATGTTTTATGCTATTATTTGATGATATTTTAAAAAAATATTATACTCCTTCCAGTGTGTTGTTTGTAAAGCTTCAACCAGTGGATTTATTTCAGGTGGCAAGTGGTCTGGTTAATTCATACTGTCTTCACTTGGCTGCCAGTGCAAATCCTGCCTGAGAATAAAAACTGGTTTCTTTGCAGATAAAATCAGTGGGATTTTGGATGTGTTCCTAGGTCAAGGAAATCAGTATCTAAAGAGGAAAATGTTATGAATTCATCTCGCGGAATGTGGGTCAGTAATATAGGCTGTGATGCAGAGCGTGCTTTTGGATCTCTATCCTGCCAGGTTTACAATTACTGGGGGTAAAAGATGGATTTTATCTATACATGTTTCTATTCCCAAAAAAGAAGGGACTTCTTCAGATATACTTAAGCTTTGTTATGATGCATAGAGGCTGAACCATTGCTTGGTCTTTTAAATCTACCAAACCGCTTCTCATATATCATTGGGTTAGATGAAGCAAAAGCTTCTTGAACTTTTTCATCCCATAATCCAGCAGGGCTTTGCATTAGCCTACCTTTGAAATTGGTTTAGAAGCTGCAGTTAGTAAGTTGTTGAAAGGGGCAACCTGTCATAAACATATCACACCTGTTCTGAGGAGTTGCACTGGCTGCCATTTTGCTACTGAATAAAATCCCAGGATCTTGTATTCATATAAAACTTAAAACTGGAATACCAGATAGCTTTTCACGTAAGGATTTCTTATGCAGCAACCTGGAGGTGGACTTTCTTAATAAATGTGTCCTGATTCTGGAATTCTTTTCTTGTTTGGTTATGATGAAAACTACCTGAAAAAGATTTGTTCACCCAGGCTTTTTATTCTAACTCAATTTATGCTGCCCTTTTCAAATAGCTCAGTTTTTTTCAAAATAGCAAAGAAGTTTATTCCACCCAATTTATTTTATACCATAATATCTGTCATTCACAATCACTGAGCACTACGGTTGGAGGTCATGAGAGCTACAGTTCAATAGCATTACAAGGCTGGAAGAACTCAGGTGAAAAAAATGTGCAAAAAAAAAAAAAATTGAAGCACAAAAGTAGAAGAATGTAATAGGCAAAATGACCTTAGTGAACGTGAGTTTATACTTATTTTTGATATTTATTGCTCCCAGGGTTGGAGTTAGGCTGTTTGTTGAGGCCCTGGCATTTTTGGATAAGGTATTGTCAGGTATTGGGTGACTTTATCTGGGCATATATGTTCCTCTGTTTTTTATTGTTTTTCTCTTCTCTTTTTAACCATGTAAACCACCCAGAGTCATTTTCAGGTCAGGTGGCCTTCTAAATCTAATAAAATAAAATAAATGTATAATTCCAGTAACTCAGCAAATTACTCTATTTATAACATCAAGCTGTTTAACACACAGCAGTTCAAAAAGCAGCTGATCAAAGTGAAGCTACATGAGGAAAACCAATTAATCT